CTTCCTTCTACGTACCTAACCTAACCTACTAACGTAACGTACTAATACTACTAATAGTCTCCTCCTCCTCCTCTCCACCGTACCGTCACACTCTCTCTCTCTCTCTCTCTCTCTCTCTCTCTCTCTCTCTGTGAAATTGCATGAAATGAAATCTCTGGCCATGGCATCCTGCTAACCCACCACCAAGCTCAAATTCCGGAGAGCAAAAATGGGGCAGCAGCCGAAGAGAGGCGCCACCAGCTCACCTCCTCCCTCCCCTCCTCCCCTCCCTCCTCCCCCCGGCCGCCCCCCAATCTCCCTCCTCCAACCCTCCCAACGCAAGCGGTCCTCCAAATCGACGAAAGTCTACCGCCTCTTCCGCTCCGTCTTCCGCTCCTTCCCCATACTCACCCCTTCCAACCCTTGCCGCCTCTCGCCCCTCCCCCCTAGCTCCTCCCCCCACCTCTCGCTTGGTTCTCGAATAACTGGCACCCTCTTCGGCCACCGCAAAGGCAGAGTCTCCCTCTCTATCCAGGAAAACCCCCGCTGCTTGCCCACTGCTATAATCGAGCTTGCGATGCAGACCAATTCATTGCTCAAAGAAATGGCCTCTGGACTCGTGAGAATCGCTCTTGAGACCGAGAAGAAAGCAGCCGACAAGACAAAATTGCTGGATGAGCCTCTTTGGAGCATGTACTGCAACGGGAGGAAGGCGGGGTATGGCGTGCGGAGGGAGGCAGCTGAGGAGGACTTGGGTGTGATGCAGATGCTGCAGGCAGTGTCGATGGGGGCTGGGGTGCTGCCGACAGCAAGCGGTGAGGGGGAAGATGGGGAGATGACATATATGAGAGCACATTTTGAGCGGGTCGTGGGCTCCAGGGATTCCGAGGCATTTTACATGTTGAATCCTGATGGCAACGGTGGGCCTGAGTTGAGCATCTTCTTTGTGAGGATTTGAGGGACATGGGCTTCTCTTTCTTCCTTCTGAGGATGATGTTATGATCCAACTGGCCATTGGTTTTTCAGAGAAAGAAGTGAAATTTAACCAAAACAGAGAGAGAGAGAGTTGAGGATTCTTCCTCCTTGGATGCTTCGTTCATTTGTCCATTGATCAGATAGACACTTCTTCATTCATTTGTTCATTGATCGGATACTTTCATGAGGATATTGATGATATACAATATTTCATTTCTTGCGAGCTTCTCCTCCCTGGTGATGTTTTGTAAAATGAGAACATGTAGTCTATAGAGATTTCCATCTTTCTATTGAAAATTTGTGAAATGTGGTATAGGTTTCGTGTTTATTGCATACCAACATATGCAAGCCTCCAACATGTCTCCTACTCAAGGGAGGCATGGTTAGAGATGAACTGTAGGTTTGCTTTCAATCTTCTTTCATTTGTCTATAGACTGATGGTTCATCTCCCACCATCAATTGTGGAGGATGGATGGTAGATGGCCTGCATGTGTTGTGTAGTATACTTTATAGCCTTTTCTTGAAGGAGCATGGATTGTTTAAGAAGATGTATGCATGAAGAAAGTTTACATAGCACATAAAAGTAAGGCGCGCATAAAAAAAAAAAAACTTTCAATTGATCATCTCCTACTTGAGTTGTATAGATATGAAAGAAACGATTTTTTAGTTCTAAAAATAGTGCATCTGGTGAGATTGTCCATTTTCAAGATTTTCAAGTGTTTATATATCTATTCGATCTTTATTGTTTTTGGAGCTTTATCTTTAAAATCAGGGGTAGAAATAGATTTTTAGGTCATTGAAAGAGGAACCGATCCGCCAAGTTATAAACAAAAACTTAAGCAGATTGTAGATTTTTAAAAAAAGTTAATAGAGTGGAATGATCTTCCTGTCGGGTCATGACTCTTATGCTATCTCAAGATAATATCTGTCCCTAGTAATAGAAATAAGTATATATAAAGGATTCCATTCATATGAATCATTGGTTATCTCGAAAGAGAAAATTAAAATTATAATCTTTCTTGTTTGAATGCACATGAGCAACTAGAACCCTATAGCACTAGGTTTTGCTTTTTTGTTTTTTTTGTTTTTACTGTAAACAACCAATATTTCTATAGAGACGCAAAAATCCTATACATGAAATGAGTGGTTCTTCTCCTTTATACAGAAGAATTTAGATACCATTTCTTGAACCGGAACATTGCTCCTCAATGTAAATGTTTGTTGAAAAATCACGTCTTCTCACAAACAACTTTAATTGTTCATTAATTTGGGTTGATAGCAGTTAACTAGTGTGTTTTCGAATTATTTTCAGGCCTAACCGTGGTCATAGTATGCTCATAACCGCGACCGACAATGTTAGCCATTATTAAAACTTAGTGTGAAGCTTGAGCACGGCACCACAACCATGCACGGTTTAGGGCACCTCATCCCGATGCGAGTATGAAAACTGCACCTCAAAGAGCTCATGGAGCATTGCATACTCTGCATCATAGGCCTTCTCTTTTTTTAGTCCTATTAACATAAAGATCTCAAAAATTTCTTTATATAAACTTTACTCTCTGATTCCAATCTTTATCCAAATTAGTTTTCCAGGCATGACATTTTTTTGTGCCATTTAAAGAAGGCAAATATCAGATCTTAGGTGGCATAAAGTATGTTCATAATCAAATTTCAAGAAGAACGGTTAAGAAGAGGTGTTTAGGTTGTAAAATGTGAAGCGTGTCTTGTTCTTGGTATGTTGAGACAAGCAAAAAATCGTAAACATTCTTGGTGTGTTGAGACGAGCAGAAAATCATAAACACATGCATCCATGTCATATAACATGAGGGCCTGATTTTCTTTTTGTGTTCCATCTTATATTTGGAATTTCAATTCTATTTAGAATTAATATATGTCTTGTGTCTCTGATAGTGGATATGGGCAACCAATTATTTGAGTGAAGTAAAGGATCGAACCAAACTTATGGATCGAAGGAAATAGGTCTATTTCTATGATTAAATTATTTTGGTTGAATACATGATTGTCAATATGAATGTTGGGAAAAGAAAATAAAAGAAATAAGACATTGTGTTGAATTGGTATTACATGGATAAAAAATAGAAAGAAAATTGTTGCGTGATTCAGTAGGTGCAAGAACCTACTAATTCATCACAAACGTCCACTGTGAAGATGGACGTTGTATAAGGTGTACACTCCATGGATTCCATATATAGACTGTGCACCAAAAAATATAAAAAAAAAGCCTATATTTTTAACTTTTATTTTTCTTTTCATATTCATGATCACCTTGGCTAGATGATTCTATAAAAAAAATTAGATAAAGAATCTATTTTTAAAATGGATTTTAGAGGGAGGTCATATGTACATATGAGTCGGCCGACCCCGTAGAAACCCCATCCAAAATAGAATGTGACTGGAAGAATAAATCATAAATTACAAAGACGGAGGGAAAAAATAAGATAATGAGATAAAAATAATAAGAATAAATATAAATATCCATATAAAGCTTTTTAGAATTTAATTCTGATCATTATAAACCTATTTCATTATTATCTTCATTTATATCCTTTTTAACACATGTAGAAGATAATCATAAACAGATGTATGAGAGCATTTTGATCAAAATTTCTTTATGGGTTCCATAAGAGTGTTCTCTTTCTTTTCTATTTTGGGTATTACATGCATTAGCCAACATATAACATACATAATACATGTTACGTGAGCACGGCAAGTTATGATGTCATGATGTTATGATGTATCAGTGGCCCTTTTGGTTGACATTTTTTAACACAGTTTTAGTTGTCATTGCACATAAAGAGTGTAGAAAACTGTCATCTAACAAAGTGAAAAGCATACCAGGGTTAACTCTTATTAACTAGAGTTACTAGACAATGAACAACAAGATAATAAACTTGTAATTGAGCTTTAAACACACTGATGGGGAAAGACTGAAGAGGACACTATTCCACCTCAGGTTGTTATATCAAAGTTATCCTTTGTTGTTTGTGAACAATCTCCTACAATAAATTAAAAGTCAATTTCAAGAAACCCAAACATCCAAGGACAATACTTGGTACAATTAATTTAGAGAAATAAAAGGAAATCAAGACAATCCACATACTAAAATAAATAAATTTTAAAAACTAACTAGAAATAATAATTTAATTAGGAAAATGTTTGGACCATTAGTTTCTATTGTTTTTGAATGGAACACCTACTTACATATTTAAGATTTATGCTTTATATTTTTTGAACCGCATATGTAGTCATGCGATCAGCCCGCATGAAACAATTTTCCTTATAAGATTTGAGTGTTAAATAAGAGATACTTTACAATCCGCAAAGCACCGTTGGATCCCATTTCCACTTTCATTAAAAACTATCAAACTAACCTCTATTACTAACTCCATCAGCCCATCTTCACTTACAAATGAAAACACCAAATCTCAACTTTATCCAAAGTTCTCCCTCACAATATCTACTTTCTATTTCAACACAATCTACAGATTTCTTGTAAAGCCCCCTCTTAAAATAGTTTTCACAACAATTTAAATACCCACAAATAATAGGGAAAAAAATACCCATTGAAATGATTTTCTATAAGAAAAATACACTATGAGACCATTTATCTTTAGTACAAGGTGGTCAAATTAACTTTAACTGTTAGATATAAAATTAGATAGCTACATTTATTCCATTGACTCAAAAGAAAATTTTTCGACCTTTGTGACACACCTAAGCTATCAGATTTCACATCAAATAGTTGTAAGCAATTGTGACCTCCTTGTATCAAAGATAAATAGTCTCATTATATACATTCCCGTATGAATATACCCAACACACATGTCTTGTAAAGTCCACACTTCCAAAACAATAGAGATTTATAGGTGCTACCATTTTTTTTTCTTCTAAAGTTTGAGTTCATTGGGTGCTCCACCGGCTAGTGAATTGTTTTGGAAGATATAGACGTGCAAAACATTGATTAATTCTTGTGTTAGGTATCTTTCAACCCTAGTTGGAAAAACATCATGGCACTTTTTTAAAGTGGAACATGAATCTCATCATAAGGTTGCACATCCACAAAGAAAATGATGAGCTTTGGATAACTTCTAGAGGTAAATAATGTAATCATAGCTATAAAATAAAACATCAAGTTCGACCTTTGTGGTCCTCCAAACTGATAATATACATTGTGTGAAGTTATTTTCTAAAGATAAATTTGAGAAAGACCTTTATTTTCTTGAATTTTGAATTAGCTTTTGCATGAGCAAGATGGCCTGTTTGCTTGTATTGGACTTTGTTAAAATTCTAATGCCAAAACTAACCTTTTCTAGCATAAAGATGATGTCATAATAATAAGGGGGATTTGGGACTTTTGTGTTATAATTACAGTACTTCTATAGTGAAATTTTACTAGAAGGAAAAAGTTTATATAAGAGTGAGGCCCTAAACAATCAAATTAAGATGCACTTCAAAAATTCACTAGAAGATGTTGTTTTGATGCTAAAAAATTTTCAAATTGATTATCTCGACTTCAAGATGTACGAACATGAGAAAAAATGGGTTTCAAGTCTTAGAATAGTGCATCTTGTAATGCATTTTTAAGACCATCAAATTTCAAGATTTTCAAGTGTATATAAATTTGCTCGATTTGCATTAATTTTGAAACTTTAAACTTTGTAATTAGAGATGAAAATAAATTTTCAAGCTGTCACAAAAGTAGTGTTTTAATGCTTAGATCAGGTCGCCCACTCAATCATCTCGTTAGGCTGATCAATCTAGATCGGTTGAGTTTTTAGGGTCAAACAAACATCAAACAAAAAAGAAAAAATAAAATTAAAATGTGAAAATCAAATGATCATGGAAATGTCAGTTACCCAGATCATCCACCCGCTAATCTTGATATGAATCGGCCAATAATTCTAAATTTTTTTTATTAAAATATTTGTTAGAGATGAACAATTTAACATTTTATCTGTAGTTCTCATTTAAGTTTAAAATACCCATATTGAAAGAGTTGTAAATAGATAAAATGTGAGTAATCCATCTCTCAAGGGTCAAAATTTTCCTAATTTTGACCCATATTAAGAGATAATTCTACCCGGAAAGTCTAATATACACAACAAGTGTATGATGTTACGCATGACACATATGGGTTACTCAAAGTCCTTTCCAAAACACTGAATGACAGAAAATAATAATGGATGGGCTTTGGTTTTACACATGGTGGAGTAAGCTATTCCATGCAATTTTCTTTAAAAAGCTCCTCCTTAAAGAGCAGTTTTCAAATTAAAATTTTGTGAAGGATAATCTCGGCCATCATAATCATGAATCTGAAAAAAAATAAATTGTTAACCTTGAACATAGGCTATTTTAAGCTTTATTTTCAGACTATTCAATTTAATTCTTTATAGAGCTGCACATTTTTTTTGAGTTACAAAATCATGGATCTAAAGCAGAAATGCATCTAAACATATTAGGATATGTTTCATTCCCAAATCCACCTCCGACATGGATTCTTGGAAGGAGATCACGTTTGAAAAGGACATCATTTAAACTTTTCCCATTGAGAAAATATTACAAAGATAGAATGTTAATTTCATTACGTCTAGTCTCCACCGTCCATCATCATGAACAGGGTATCGCATATCATACACCGGAGAGGTGTATGATACACTTTCCAATTTAAAATATAATTTCAAATCAATACACCGACAAATTGGTGGTTGTCCCCTTCTTTCTAGTGTACTTATCAAACACTTGGTATTTTCCTAGGTTTCTTCCCTCATAGAATAAGTGAAACAATTAATATTAGTAGGTAACAAAATTCCAAGCCCCATGTATAAAAATATTGCAGTCTTCACGTGCTCTGGACATTATAGTCTGAAACTCTCCATAAAATTTAGGCCCAGTTGCTGGTTCTCCATTGCAATAGGGTCATGGAGGCGTTTCTCAAGGACGTCAAGAACAGGCTTTCTACTCTATTTGCTGGTCTCACAACCTGCAACAAAAACCCATCTCACACCAAAGGTTAGAAATCAGATCCTCTCTCTCTCTCTCTCTCTCTCTCTCTACTAACTACTAACTACGTACTTACTTACGTTACGTTTCGGTTTACGTTCGTTACGTACGTACGGTACGGTAACGGAACGGTAACGGTAACGGTAACG